GAATGCAGGGACAAGCTAGAGCTGTGAGGGTGCCTGGGCTGCCCTAGGATGTCAGGTACCTGAGCATTGGCCTCTGTATCCACAGCCTGCCAAGCAAGGAATCACCAGGGTCCCTGGTGAATGGCCTGCAGCCTCTCCCAGCACACCAGGAGAATGGCTTCTCCCCCAAGGGACCCTCTGGGGACAAGAGTCTGGGCCGAACATCAGAGGCACTCCTGCCCTTCGCTGAGGCAGAAGCCTTCCTCAAGAAAGCTGTGGTGCAGCCCCCACAGGTCACAGGTAGGGATCCCTAACTCCTGGACCCACAGCCTTCCCTTCCAGCAGCCTTCCCAGGACTCTCCAGCCCTGTCCTCTCTTCCAGCTCTGCCAGAGACCTTCGTACACTCCACCCTGAAGCCCCCACCGCTCCACCCCAGGTAGCTGGGCTTGGAGGCATGGTCTGCCTGACTGTTTCCTCTCTCTCTTTTTCCCCAGAAGTACTTTAAGGGGTTGTCTTGGATCCAGGCACAGCTATGAGGGCTCCTCTGCATCATTTACCAGGATGTCTGGAAAAGAAAGAGACAGAACAAAGCCGGAAGTGGCCTGGGCCCCTGGGGGTGGGTCCTCTCTGTTATTTTTAATCTGCACCTTATAGACTGTTGTCTCTTTGGCTGGAGCCAGACCCTGCTCCTCAGTGCATTCGTGTGCTCACACGCGCGGACACCCTCCCATACACACACATACACTCACAGCCTCTCTGGCCTCCTCCCTTTAGGAAGGGCCGCCTGTAGTATTTGCCTTGGTTTGGTGGGGTACAGTGGATGTGAATACTGTAAATAGCTTGTGCTCAGACTCCTCTGCGTGGAGGGGATGGGTGCAGGAGGCAGACCCTCCCAAGACTCCCTGGGGAGATCTTCCTCTCTATTTAACTGTAACTGAGGGGGAACCCAGGTCTGGGGGTGGAGGGCACCGTGGGCCACAGGATGCTGGTTGCTTTAGGGGTACCCATGCCCCCTGCCCTCGCCTGGAATCAGTGTTACTGCATCGGATCAAACTTCTCCAGAAATAAAGTGAGAATAATTCTGCCAGTCCTGTCCGTCCTTGGGGCTGGCGGTTGCGGTGGGAGCAGGTGGCCTCTTGAGTTCTAAGAAGAATTTAAAGAGCCAGGGCCTGGGGATATACACTCCTGGCCTAGTCCTGTGGCCTTCCAGTTTAGTTACGAATTCACTCACTTACTCATTCAACAAATATGGTTGCATCTACTCTGTACCAAGTAGTGGGCTACATGCTGGGATGCAGTAGTAGGAAAAGATATAGCCTCTTTTCTCAGGGAGTTTACAGCCTAGCAGGTGAGCATCATAGACACTGAGTTGCCAATTCAATATCTGTTCCCATTGCTCCTTCCTCATTTCAAACGGAATCCTGATTTTGTTCAGGGGTCCATCTTCTTCCTGGATCCCACCATGTGCTTGATCAGAGAAGGATCCTAGCCCTGGGGTGAATCATGATTGTAATGACCCAAAATGGTGGTCCCAAAGTCCTCACGTGTGATTGGTTTTGATATAGGCACGTGACACAATCCTAGCTAGCAGATATAAAGAAAAACCTCCTGGGATTCTAGGAGAGGCTTTCTCACTTTTGAAAAATATACTTTGTGATAGCCAGCCTTGAAGCTGACCTCCCAGTGTCCCCCCAATCCTACCTAGTGTTCACATCCTGGGTAGTCCCTTCCGTGTGGCACCCGGGTTGGGTTGAATGACCCACACAATACGGCAGAAGTGCTAGTGGGTCACATCCAAGGTTTGGTCATAAAAGACACTGCTGCTTCTGTCTTGGCTGCTGTCATTCTTGAACAACCCCACTGGAGGAAGACACTTGCTATGTCATGGAGAGCGTTATGGAGAGGCCGATCAAGGGACTCAAGCCCCCTGCCAACAGCCACCAGAATAAGCTTGGAAGCAGATTCTCCAGCCCCAGTTAACCCTTCAGATGACCCTGGCCCGCAGCTTGACAATAACCTCATAAGAGACCCTCTGCCAGACCCACCAGCTAAACCATACCTGGGTTTCATTTAACCATAGGAAACTGAGATAATAAATGTTTTATACTAGGTTTTGTGACAACTTGTTACACAGCAGGAGTTAACTAAGACACAATGAGAAAACCCTGCTTGTATGACATAAGGTCTGTGATGCCTGGAACTGCTGTATCCATCCTGCTAACTGACTTGAGGACAAAGCCAACATCAAGGGTAGCAGTGCCAAGAGGGAGAGAACCTAGATCCTCAAGAACATCACTGAATTAACCAACCCCAAAAGCACTAGACAACAACTTGTTTAAGCCGATGGGGTTGGATTTTCTGCTATGTGTGACCAAAAGCTTCCAAACGTACGATAAATATGTAGATATGTTTCCGTTGTGAACTACGATGAAGGAAATGAATTAGATGAAAGGACAGGCAGCAACAGAGAGTTACTTAGAGAAGGTGTCCTCTAAAGATGCAGCAATTAAAACGACCTGAAGGATGAGGAGGAATCAGCCATGTGAAAAAGAAAAAGGGAGAAGAGCTGCAAGTAGAGGAGTCAGTATGTAGGGACCCCTGGAGGAGTAGCGGGTGCAGGCCAGTGTTGCTGGGGCATAGAGAATAATGGAGAGCATTGGGTGGGGAAGGAGAGGTAGGAGGGGCCAAGTCACAGGTGTTGGGGATGAGGGGCAGGGAAAGGACTAAGCTTCTAGGTCCTCTCCATGGTGACAGCTCCTTTGCATAGCCTCCCAACCCCCAGCAGAGACAGAGGCACCATTTCCCTGAAGGCAGTATTCTCTGAACACTCTGCATGGGAATCACTCATTCATTCAATAAATTATGGAGCACCAGCTAAGCACCAGAGGAATATGATGGTGGAAGCTCCTGGAGCTTCCTAGTGGGGAAGATGGGCATTAGCCAAATAACCACACAAACCAATGTAGAAATAAAAAATGTGGTCAGTGCTATGAAGGTGGACTATAGGGAGCAACAAAAGCATCCCTCATGGGAACCTGAGTTGGGGGTCAGATAAGCTATCCCTGTATAATGGGTGTTTAAGATGTGATCGGACGGTGAGTAGGTGTTGATGGGGCAAAGTTAGGAACATAGAGAAAGAGGAGAGATAAGCACTTTCCAGAGAAGGGGAAAACGTGCAAAGGCCCTGCATAAAAAGGAGGTGTATTCGTGTATCTGGAGACTGTAAACAGATTTGAAGGAATCTGTTTTCACTCACCACTGAATCCTCAGTGCCTGGTATAACGGGCACTCAATATTTGTTGAATTAAGAAAGGTCCGTTGAGAAGGTGGAGTTTGGCACGAGGTGAGGCAGACCATTCAAGGCCTTGTAAGGCTGTGTCAAGAGTTTGTATTTTATTCCAAGGGTCATGAGAAGCCACTGAAGGCTATTAGAAAGGGAGTTGGAAGTGTGACATAGTCAGACTGGCATTTTTATTAGAGCACTCTGGGTGTCGAGTGGGAAACCAGTAAGGACTTGATTGTAAACTGGGAGACCAGTTAAGAATTACTGAGGTCCAGATAGGAGATGATAGAGGCTCAGGCTCAGAAAATAGAGATGGAGAGCAGAGAGCAACATTAAATTACTTATTTATTCAAGGAATACCGAGCACCTACTCTGTGCCAGGCACATCGATGCTGGAGATTTTCAAGTGAGCAAAAATTGACGTGGTCCTTAAACTCATGGAGCTTACGGTTGAGTGGAAGAAACAGACATTAATTAAATAATGTTACAAACAAATGGACAATTACAAGTACAGCCGTCGCCCCTTATATGCAGGGGATATGTTCCAAGACCCCCAGTGGATACATGAAACCATGGATAGTACCGAACCCTATATAAACTGTTTTTCCTATACATACATACCTATTGTAAAAGTATAAATTAGGCACAGTAAGAGATTAACAATAATAAAACAGAACAATTATAACAACATACTGTAATAAAAGTTATGTGAATGTGGTCTCAGCAAACTAGCACGAATTTCTCTTTCCTTCACAACATCACAGACAGAAGATTCATTCTTACCGTAGATCTCAGCAACCTCAGCATGATTTTTTTTCTTTTCTTATTAAGTCAGGAACTGCCACCTTTTCACTTAAAGGAAGCATCTTACGGCTTCTCTTTGGCATATCCGAATTGCCAGCATCAGTACATTTGTGCTTTGGGTCCTTTATTAAGTAAAATAAGGGTTGCTTCAACACAGGCACCGAGATATCGTGACAGGAGATCTAACCAAGACAGCTACTAAGTGACTAATGGGCAGGTAGCACATACAGCGAGGATATGCTGGACAAAGGGAAGATTCATATCGGGCTAGACAGAGCAGGACAATGACTGTTCATGACGCTACTCAGAATGGCATGCATTTTAAAACTCATGAATTATTATTTCTGGAATTTTCCACTTAATATTTTTGGAACACAGATGACCATGGGTAACTGAAACTGTGGAAAGCAAAGCTGTAAATAAGGGGGTACTATTGTATAACAAATATACGAAGGAGAATTATGTGGTTCCAGGAGAGTCAATAATAAAGGATCTGACCTGGTCACGGAGGTTAGGGAGGGTGTCCCTGGGAAAGCAACACTGGAGCCGAGATCTGAAGGAATAGGGGTTAACAAAGCACAAAGGGAACAGCATGTGCAAAGGCCCTGTGATGAGAACAGCAGAGTGCAGTTGGAACATAGAGAGTGAGAAGGAGGATGCCAGAGGCGAGAAGGACCAGACCAGGGAGGACCCTGCAGGCCTGACTAAGAGTTTGGTCTGGGAAACTATTGAAAGATTTCAGCAGGTGGCTGACCAATTGATGGTTTGGAAAGATTATCAGATTACCACCTGAAGAAGGGCTTGAAGAAGAGGGGAAGAGTGGTAGTAGGGAGTTCAGACAAGAGCACCGACTCTGCTGAGAGATGGTGGGCACTTGGTCCAGTAAATGATGGAAACCAAGAGGTAGAAACAGGGGGTGAAAAAATTAACTGGACATAGGGAATGAAAAAGAAAGGTGCCAAAGATGATTCCCAGATTACTGGTCAAAAAATCATAGAGATACTGAGAGAGCAAACTATGGTAGAGAGCCAGGTTTAGGGGAACAGATCTTACCCTTGACCTGGAATAACAATTTTTTCCTACAGGTCTAGCGCTCAAGAGACGGGTTTGATCCCACAGGCTGGGAGGGAGGAGTCTGGGAGGAAAGTTCTAGGAGGGGTGCAGTGTTCAGGAGCCCGGGACCTCTGGCTTTTTCCAAAAAGTCCTGGGGCTCAGCGGCCTTTGGAAGAACTGGCCCAGGATGCAGGGAGGCTGGCCTCCTGGTCTATTTCCAGGTTTCCCGCCGGAGACTTAGGAATGTCCGGTCTGTTCCTGAGCGAGATTGAGGAGAATGGAGGAGGAGGCAGGGGCACTGTGCTCTGAGAGCCCTCTCTTTTTGCAGCTCTGCCCTTTCCCCAACAGGGCCAGACAAGGCAGGGCCAGAGGCAACAAATGCCCTTCTCTCCTCCTCCCTCCATCCCGCTGCCAAAGCTCCTGAACTCCAGCTCTCTTACAACACTCTCCGACTCCCCGCCCCCGCACAGACCCTTTCTTTACCAGGACTCCCCAGCTCCACCAGCGGGCGTTGGTCCTGATGAGCCTCCCTCCCAAGAGCAGTCAGTCCGCCCTTAAGCCTGAGCCCGGCTTTTCCTTGGACGGGCATCTGGCGCCCCATCCTGGTTGAATTAGCACATGACAAGATAAGCGAGGTCGGAGCTGCAGAGACTAGACAAGAGGGCTCTGGCAGGGGTACTGGCTGAAAGGTCTGAAAGTGCGTGTGCGACCGGCCAGTTGCCAGGCAATTCCTTTGGTTTTTGTGAGCTAGTAAAAATTAGGACTAGTGATATGGATGAGGCACTTCTTCAACTAACAGAATAAAAAAGTTTTGTTAGTTGCAAGGCCCCCTCCCCATTTTAAGGGGCTTTGACATCCTGGGGCAGCCCAACTCCTCCTGTGTGCTATCAGCCCTTTCCCCAGACCACTTCACTGCCAGACAGCTGTTAGACATATCCTGATGAGGC